AATGCTCCCACAAATGGCACTACAGCATGTAAAAAAAAAAATATAAGCTCTGGCAGACTTGGTTCTATAGTAGGTCTTAAAGGGTTAAATAAATATCGTCAAATAATCGAGATCTCAATTTCAGTGAAAATAATCGTGATTATCATTTTTGCCATAATCGAGCAGCCCTAGCTTGAGGCAACTTTTCTTGGTATTTGCTGCTATATAAATAAAATTGAACTGAATTTAATTGAATTTCTCAAGGCAAACCTTGCAAACAACCCATATTTATTCATTAACTTCATTATTCAACATGCTAACTGAGACTAGAGTCGCGCTTGGGTTTCTTGCCAATTCTCTGACCATTGCTGGGTATGAACTTGTTGTTAATTTGCTGAAACAACCACTCCTGGGAACACAGTGGCATTGTGTTGACACACAGCTGATGAACTCACATTTGTTGATTATCTGTTAATCAAGTGCATTTGATCAGCAGCATCTGAAAGCTACTAACCCTCCTAAAATCTGTGAAAACAGTAAAAGTATCCAAACTGTCCTATAAAAACTCTCTTTTTTACACAGCTGTTACTATACAGTTGTTATTAAAGAAAATTATGTTTCTGTGTTGACCTACACTTCTTTAAACCGGTAGTTTTATAATTCATTCATAGAAAACCAGTATGAATAAATAATGTAATGCATAAATCACACTCAAAACAAAATCTTGGGATTATCTTCTACACAGTAATTTGCACCTATGCATTTTATTTCCTTTATTTTCATTGCTCAAATTTCCACTTTACCTTCCCTCCAGCTCTATACCAGCAAAGAAAATATTCTGCTAAGGTCATCATTTATTCAGTATACCGAGAGTTGGGAAAGCTCCTCCCTGGAGCAACGCTGAATCTTAAAACCCGGTGAAGTTTATTATCTATTTTTAGCATCAGCAGTATTCCAGCTTGTGTCTGCTCCTCTGGAAACTGCTTCTACTCAATACTGGTGGTCAAGTGTTCAAGTGAAGCAGCACTGAAATGTGATCTCCAGAGGTGGATCACAGTGAATCCTTCAACTTATGTTTTAAGAGTCTTTTATGCTCAGGTGACTTACAGTACATGAACGTAGTATAGCGTATATTAGTTTAAAAACCTCACCCTGACAGTGATACGTTCCACTCTCACATAACAAATAGGCCTTACTTGAATACTGGCTTCCCAAACATGATTATCTATGAGCAGTAGGAAGTAGCTTGGACGTAAACTCACTGAGGTCTCCTCCTGCTCACTTTGATGAACCACAATATGCCAGCAAATTCATAGGACTGGTCAGACTGACCAGAATTTTAGCTGAGACTGAATACAGCTGCCATTTCAGCAAACTATGAATCATATTAACAGACAGGAAAGATGAGAATAGTGTGATTTTATTTATAAAAGCAAATGCTCACAAACTGAGGAGGCTAGTAGATAAATATATCAGAATTTAAGGAAGATGTTGGAGTTTGTTCACCTGCACTTCTGCTAATAACCAGCATGAACTCCTCTGACTGCAAGGAAAAGTCAGAATGCCTATAAAAGTGGATGGCCCGATTGGTTTATATCCTCAGTCACAAGTTTCACGTCTTCTTCAATAAACCATGATGTTCCCTTTGAAAACTATGGTGTGAACAGAACGCTTTATAGCCTGGGTCCCATGTGGTTGACAAGTTGCCGCTTTCTGAGCTTGCAGTGTCCTTACATTCTCACTCTGACCTCCTCTAGCTTGTGATGTCTATAAAACATGTCGACAGCCAAACTGCCAAACTCGAGGCTTCAACACAGTCATCCGCAAGAACGGCGTCAGCGGTTGCTGCCATCCTTTAAGTGTAGTTTGTAGAAAGTGTGAATAATATGGGGTCATTCTGGGATTTTATCAGTAAGGAAAACACAGAAAAACACAGACAGTAAGTACAAATTCTGAAAAAACACTTAGAATCATAGGAAATTACTGGAAGCTGTTGCAAAATGAATCTTCTAATGCCCTTCTGTTATTTGTATGCTATCTATAGTGCATGGTTCAAATCTCTTGACATCTTGTTTGAAAACTTAAAATTGTTATATCTGCAGGGCCAAAACTAAACTCTGTGGCAATGTGCAGTGCATGCAGGACTCTCTGTTCTTTGCTCTGCTTGTGTCTAACTAGTCAGGGGGAAGCCCTGGTGTTCTGCAGCTAAAAGCCCCACCATATAATGAATAATGAATTCCCCATCCAGTCTATCCGAATACTAGTTCAAAGGCATCTATCGTTACGCATGGGCCGGCATCAAGCCACACAGCTCTATGCTAATGGCCCTTAACTCCAGGGGCTGGACAGAGCCTACTGAGCCATGCAAATGTTTTACTGCTAAGGTTGAAGAAGACAACGATGGGGATGTGATGAGGACCCAGGGGCTGGGGAAAAAATGTACGCCTGGCCACCAGCAGCACACAACACTGCAACATTTTCACACAGGCACACATTCACACAGGCTCGGAAACTACTGTAAGCGCAATTCATCCCATAGAAAGCTTGATCGTGTTATTGATGCTGAGTGACACTAACTACCTCCCCAGTACTCCGAGACTGAGATGTGAGAATTGGGAGAGGTTGTCATAAGAAATCACATTTCAGCCTCACCACTTAGTTGATACCAGTTATATGCAGAGTCAAAGATATTTTGGGATTTATTTGTCTGGTTTTCTTCTTTTTAGTCTTACATCATGATACAAAAAACAATGCTGCCTCTGCGGGGACTGTACACATAAAGCGCGTGTCTGTGATTGTGTGTGTGTGAGTCTGTGTGTGTTTGTGGGTGTGCCTGTGTGACTAGGCTAAGTTTGTACAGTCATTTCAGCATTTTCCTGATTAGACTGAAAACAAAAGCCCCTGTTATCAGGGAAGGAAGCAGCACTCTGCTTGTGAGCCATCAAACGAAGAACATTTTTCTCTGTTAAAACCAGCAGCTTAAAATGAGAAAAAAACAGAAAGCCTGATGTAAAAGCTCCTCTGGGAAGGTACTATATATATTTGAGAGTGCTTTCCTGTTTGTTTTTCATTTTTCATTCCTTATCCCCTACCTCTGTTCTGTCTCTTTGGCTTCTGCTCTGTGTGGATTTCCTACTGCACTTCGCTCTTGATCCCTTGGCCTTCATTTCTTTCTTATTTCCCCTCTCTGCTCCTTTACACGAGTCTACATTTGAATTCATCATAATGCTGGTTTCACAGTGCGATGGAAGCTTGCAGAAATAGTATTGGGAATATTTCCCGGAATTTCAAAGCAACCAAAATCAGAGACTTACCAACCACCACCCGAGGGATGCAGGTAAATCCTTTGGGTTTTCAAAGAGACGCTCAGAGCAATGCAGCTGCTCAGAATAATGCAATTTACTAGATTTAAAGTAAAACAGTGAAACCTTCTTTTACAAATGAAAGAAACCTCTAAGTCGGAAAGAAGGGCTTTTTAAGGAACCACCTTTTTCCTAACTAAAGCAGTGGAGCATGAAATGCCCAGTTTAATTGCAACACTGTTCAACACTGCCTCGCCTCTCTAACCTTGATAGACCATAAGCAAACAGAAGAGGATGATTAAAAGCCACTTGGTGAGATGTCAGCCACGTGCAGGGAAGAGCCACTCACGAATGGTTGCTAATTTTTGAATCAGAACAGTAATGAGGTGTTAAAGCAAGATCCTTCAGCCTAGAGCTTAGCATTGGCATGCTGGGAGTTATCTAAGTGTCTGCATGAGCATTAAGAAATTACAACAGTGGGGTCTTGGTGGCCCATTTCTATATAAGCCTTACGGATACCGACTACAGAATGGAGGGAGCAGTTGTCAGCCACCGCCTGTGCATGAATGACATCAAGCTGTATGTCAAGAGTGAACGAGACATCGATTCACTGATCCACACCACCAGGATATTCAGTAATGGTATTGGAATGTCATTCGGACTGGAGAAATGTTGTCGGATGATAACAAAAAGAGGGAATTTAGTC